GGTGGAGGTGGTGTTGAGGTGGTGGAGTGGTGGTGTTGGTGGTGGGTGGTGGTTTTAGTGGTGGGGTTGGTGGTGTTGGTGGTGGAGGTGGTTTGTGTTGTTGGTGGAGATGGTGGTGGAGGTGGGTGTGTTAGTGGTGGAGGTGGTGGTGTTAGTTGGAGGTGGTGGTGTGTGGGGTGGAGGGGTTGTGTTGGTGGTGGTGATGGTGTTAGTGGTGGTGATGGTGTTAGTGGTGGAGGTGGTGGTGTTGGTGGGTGAGGGTGGTGTTGGTGGTGGAGGTGTTGGTGTTGGTGGTGTTGTTGTGAGTGGAGGTGGGTGTTGGTGGTGGAGGTGGTGTTAGTGGTGGTGATGGTGTTGGTGGTGGAGGTGGTGGTGTTGGTGGTGGGAGGTGGTGTTAGTGGTGGAGGAGGTGGTGTTGGTGGTTGTGATGGGTGTTGGTGGTGGTTGGGTGGTGGTGAAGTGGTGGTGGGTGGTGGTTTTGGTGGTGGTGTTGGTGGAGGTGTGTTGGTGGTGGAGGTGGTGTTGAGTGGTGGTGATGGTGTTGGTGGTGGTGGGTGGTGTGTGAGTGGTGGAGGTGGTGTTAGTGGTGGAGGTGATTGTGTTGGTGGTGGAGGTGGTGGTGTTGGTGGTTGGAGGTGGTGGTTTTGGTGGTGGTGGAGGTGGTGTTGGTGGGTGGAGGAGGTGGTGTTGGTGGTGGTGATGGTGTTGTGGTGGGTGGAGGTGGTGTTGGTGGTGGAGGTGGTGTTGGTGGTGGAGGTGATTGTGTGTTAGTGGTGGAGGAGGTGGTGTTGGTGGTTTGTGATGGTGTTGGTGGTGGTGATGGTGTTGGTGGTGGAGGTGAGTGTTGGTGGTTGTGATGAGTGGTGGTGGGTGGTGGTGGTGGTAGTGGTGGTGGGTGGTGGTTTGGTGGTGGTGGTGGTGGAGGAGTGGAGTGGTGGTGGTGGAGTGATTGTGTTGGTGGTGGGTGATGGTGTTGGTGGTGGAGGTGGTGTGTTGGTGGTGGAGGTGGTGTTGGTGGTTGTGATGGTGTTGGTGGTGGAGGTGGTGGTGTTGGTGGTGGGTGGTGGTTTTGGTGGTGGTGTTAGTGGAGGAGTGAGTGTTGTGAGTGGTGGAGGTGGTGTTGGTGGTGGTATAGTGTTGTTGGTGGTGGAGGAGGTGGTGGTGGTGGTGGAGGGGTGGTGGTGGTGGTGGGTGGTGTGGTGGTGGAGGTGGTGGTGTGTTGGTGGTGGAGGTGGTGGTGTTGGTGTGGTGGGTGGTGTGTTTGGCTATGGTTTGATGTCAGACCTCCTTGTTAACACTTGCTGAATGGAATGTTGGCGAGTCGCTGGTACCTCTGATGCAGCTGGGTGAAAATCAGGTAATCTCGTATGCCTTCGATACAGTCGTAGGTGGTTGATACTTGAAATCGTACAGCTGTCCTAGGTTGTTTTGTAATTCTCCAAGCTTGCAAGTTAAACAAGAACACAGGTACTGAACTGTTCTCCTCACTCATTGTTACAGTTTTAAAGATAAAACACATGGTGATTTTCTAGTTATATGGGTAGTCATGCTGCAATTATTTGGTATTGACAGACTAATAAGCATTAGCTATTAGCAAAATATGTTAATGGTAGCTAATATAATCAGAGAGTACAGACTGGAGGCTGATCTCCATGTGGCTTTTGAGTACCATGTCTGGCTGTGAACTGGGAAACTGGTTGTCCTCTCTTGAGTCTGGTGGTTGGAGAGTACCGATCATACACAGACATTATCTAAAACACTCACACAGGAGGTTGAGTCTGTAGATTTATGGGCTGAATACACGAGAGGTGTTAATGAACAAATGTTTGACTATCACCCAGAGTGTGACCAAATAGACTTATATAGTTGTATGCTCAATAGTCTGGGTGATAGAATGTATATAGTGAATATATGTCTTAGCCCATATTATATATTATGTGACAGAGGCTAATATAGGTTGTGTGGAGTGGTGGAGGTGTGTGGTGGTGGAGGTGGTGGTGTGAGTGGTGGAGGTGGTGGTGAGTGGTGGAGGTGGTGGTGTTGGTGGTGGGTGGTGGTGTTGGTGGTGGAGGTGGTGGTGTGGTGGTGGAGGTGGTGGTGTTGGTAGTTGGGTGGTGGTGGTGTTGTGTGGTGGAGGTGGTGGTGTTGGTGGTGGGTGGGTGGAGGTGGTGGTGTTGGTGTGGAGTGGTGGTGTTGGTTGTGGGTGGTGGTGTTGGTGGTTGGGTGGTGGTGTTGGTGGTGGAGGTGGTGGTGTTGGTGGTGGGTGGTGGTGGTGGGTGGAGGGTGGGTGTGGTGGGTGGGGTGGTTGGTTGGTGGTTGGGTTGGGGTGTTGGTGGTGGAGGTGGGGTTGGTGGGTTGGGTTGGTTGGTTGGTGTTAGTGGTGATAGGAAGGTAAGCGGTGGAGGTGGTGGTGTTAGTGGTGGAGTGGCGGTGTTATTGTGGTGGAGGTGGCGGTGTTAGTGGTGGAGGTGGTGGCGTTAGTGGTGAGGTGTTGGTGGTGGAGGTGGTGTTAGTGGCGGAGGTGGTGTGGTGGTGTTAGTGGTGATGCGGTGGCGTTAGTGGTGATAGTTGTGGTGGTGTTAGTGGTGGAGGTGGCGGTGTTAGTGGTGATGCGGCGGTGTTAGTGGTGGAGGTGGTGGTGTTAGTGGGATAGTCGGTGGAGGTGCTGGTGGTGTGAGGTGGTGGTGTTGTTAGTGGTGGAGGTGGTGGTGTTGTTGGTGGTGATGTGGTGGGGCTAGTGGTGGAGTGTGTTGCGTGGAGTGTGGTGTTGGTGGTGGTGGTGGTGTTAGGTGGTGGAGGTGGTGTTGTTAGTGGTGGGTGGAGGTGGCGGTGTTAGTGGTGGAGGTGGTGGTGTTAGTGGTGGAGGTGGCGGTGTTAGTGGTGGAGGTGGCGGTGTTAGTGGTGGGTGGAGGTGGCGGTGTTAGTGGTGGAGGTGGCAGTACGTCAGTGTTGGAGGTGGTGTTAGTGGTGGAGGTGGCAGTGTTAGTGGTGTGATGTAGTGGTGTTAGTGGTGGAGTGGTGACGGTGTTGGTGTGGTGAGTGTGGCGGTGTTAGTGGTGATGCGGCAGTGTTAGTGGTGATGCAGTGGTGTTAGTGGTGGTGGAGATAGTGGTGTTAGGTGGTGAAGGTGATGCTGTTAGTGGTGGTGAAGGTGGTGGTGAGGTGGTGGTGATAGTGGTGGCGAAGGTGGTGTTGTTAGTGGTGGAGGCAGGTGTTGTTGGTGGTGGAGGTGGTGTTGTTAGGGGTGGTGGAGGTGGCAATGCGGTGGAGGTAGTGGTGCGGTGGTGGAGGTGGTGGTGTTAGTGGTGGTGGTGACGGTAAAGAGGTGGTGATGGTGTTAGTGGTGGAGGTGGTGTTAGTGGTGATGCGGCAGTGTTAGTGGTGGAGTGGGTGTTGAAAGCGTGGTGAGATAGTGGTGTTAGTGGTGAAGGTGATGTTGTTAGGTGGTGGTGTTAGTGGTGGTGAAGGTGGGTGGTGGAGGTGATGGTGATGGTGGTGGTGTTCGTGGTGGTGAAGGTGGTGTTGTTAGTGGTGGAGGTGTTGTTAGTGGTGGAAAGGTGGTGTTGTGGTGAGGCGGCGTTAGTGGTGGAGGTGGTGGTGTTAGTGGTGGAGGTGGTGTTAGTGGTGATGCAGGCGTTAGTGGTGATGGGGTGGTGTTAGTGGTGAGGTGGTGGCGTTAGTGGTGGAGGAGGTGTTAGTGGTGGAGGTGGTGGTGTTAGGTGATGGAGGTGGCAGGTTAGTGGTGGAGGTAGTATGCTGGTGGTGGAGGTGCTGGAAAGTTAGTGATGGAGGCGGTGTTAGTGATGGAGTGGCGGTGTCAGGAGGTGGTGGCGTTAGTGGTGGAGGTAGATGTTAGTGGTGGTGGAGGTGGTGATGTTAGTGGTGGTGGAGGTGGTGATGTTAGTGGTAAAGCAGTGGTGGAGGTGGTGGTGGTGTTAGTGGTGGAGGTGGTGGAGGTGGTGGTGTTAGTGGTGGAGGTGGTGGCATTAGTGGTGGAGGTATGTGTTAGTAGTGGAGGTGGTGGTGGTGTTAGTGGTGGTGTTAGTTGGTGCTTGGTGTTAGTGGTGGAGGTGGTGGTGTTGGAGGTGGTGGTGTTGGAGGTGTTAGTGGTGAAGGTGTTGGTGGTGGTGTTTTGGAGGTGGTGACGTTAGTGGTGGTGGTGGTGTTAATAGTGGAGGTGTTGGTGTTAGTGGTGGTGTTAGTGGTGGAAGAGGTGATATTAGTGGTGGGGGTGGCAGTGTTAGTGGTGAAGGTGGAGGTGTTAGTGGTGGAGGTGGTAGTGTTAGTGGTGAAGGTGGTGGAGGAGGTGGTAGTGTTAGTGGAGGTGGCGGTGTTGGAGGTGGTGGTGGATTAATTTCTGCAAGAAATACCAGCATTGGACATGAGACGACTGAAAGAAGGTGATGTTTAGTGATAAAAGCACCTTTAGGCTGGTGAGGGGTGCCTTGAAGATCATGCGTTGGCCCAAGAATGTAGCGCGGTACTCTCTAAAGTACACCGTCAAGACAGTGATGCATCCAGATAGTGTGGGGTGCTTTTAGTGGTTGCGAGGGCAGGGAAGGTCTGTACTTCCTTCCCAAGAATGTCACGATGAAGGGAACTAATTATATCGAGGTATTAAGGGACCATATGCTACCGTTTTGGCCAATCCATCAATGTCATCTTTTCATGCATGATGGTGCTCCTGCCCACAAGTCAAAAACAGTCACAAAGTTCCTCAGTGACAATGAAATTGATGTGTTAGAGTGGCCTGGTAACTCCCCCGACTTAAACCCGATCGAAAACACTTGGAATGTGATGAAAAACAAGATTCAAGAGGCCAGACCCAGCAACATCAAGGACCTGCAGGAGCTGAAAAAGTTGTGGGTCAACATGGACATCATCTACTTTGCCAACCTCGCCCAATCAATGCCAAAACGACTGCAGATGGTATTGAAAACGAAAGGTAACATGACCAAATACTAAATGTAAGGTAAATACTGTAATAAACGTCACGTAAGTCATGTTTTTAATTTTTATTCTCCTCCAAATCTCAAGGTGAACACAATGTCAACATTTCTTTTGCGGCGACTGTATATATAAAAAAAAAATATATACACAGTTGTCTTGGTTTAGGATTCCTACTTATCATTACTCATAAATCTTTCTCAGTCAGAATTCTGTATAATAACGTTGTTCATCTGATATCTGGTTTCTATTTACATCTCCTAGGCTAAGTACTTTACATTTTTCCCCATTAAATTTCATCTGCCATTTCTCAGACCATGCAAAAAATTTGCATAGATCTTCCTGTAATTTTGCAGTCCTTGTCAGATTTAATTATTTACCTTATTTTAGTGTTGTCAGCAAATTTACTTAATGTTGCTGTCTATGCCCATAACTATGTAGTTTATGTACCATATGTAATAAATGGTAATGGTCCAAGTACTGAGCCTTGGGGTATGCCACTAGTGATGTTACCCCAATCAAATTTAGTGCAGTTAATGCTGACTCGCTGTTTCCTGTCCTGTAACCACGCTCCAATCCAATTTAGAATATCACCTCCAATTCCATGAGCCTCCACTTTAAATATTAGTCTTTCATGGGGGACTCTGTTGAAGACTTTGTTAAAGTTAAGGTAAACCACACAGTAATTCCTAATCAGTGCATGTAACCAAATGTTTCTTGAGATCACCTTTTCTGGAAAAACTTTTACCACACTCTTCACACATAAAAGGTTTCTCACCAGTGTGTACAACTAAATGCCTCTTCAGAATGTCCTTCGCATAAAAACTTTTACCACACTCTTCACACCTAAAATTTTTCTCACCATTGTGTACAAGCATGTGTACCTTCAGCCTATACTTTACGTAATAACTTTTACCACACTCTTCACACTTAAAAATTTTCTCACCATTGTGTATAAGCAAATGTTTTTTCAGAACTTCATTTCTGGAAAAACTTTTACCACACTCTTCACACTTAAAAGGTTTCTCATCAGTGTGTACAACTAAATGCCTCTTCAGACTCTTCTTTGTGTAGAAACTTTTCCCACACTTTTCACACTTAACACTTTTCTCACCAGTGTGTGCAAGCATGTGTTCCTCCAGTTCACGCTTTCTGTAGTAACTTTTCCCACACTCTTCACACTCCAAAGTTTTCAAAGGTTTCTCAGCAGTGTGCAATAACATATGATTCTTTAGGTGATCCTTTCTGTAAAACGTTTTACCACACTCTTCACACTTAAAAGGTTTCTCAGCAGTGTGCACTAACATATGTCTCAGAAGATGATCCTTTCTGTAAAACGTTTTACCACACTCTTCACACTTAAAAGTTTTCTTACCAGTGTGTACAAACATATGTTCCTTCAACTCACACTTTCTGTAATAACTTTTCCCACACTCTTCACACTTATATTTTTTCTCTGCAGTGAGCATATCCAAATGCTGGTTTACATGATTGTACTGTGAATAAATCCTTTTACTACACTCCAAATTGTTCTCACTGTGTACCATATGTTCCTTCAGCTGATTCTCTCTGTTATAACATTTACCAATTCCTTGGCATTTAACATTTTCCTGAGCAACAGTCACATGTTGTCTCTCATCAGAGTTACTGTTAAAACTTGCATCAAATGCTTCACACTTGATATCTTTCCCATCAACAGTCACATGTTGTGTCTCATCAGAGTTACTGTTATAACTTACATCAAATGCTTCACACTTGATATCTTTCTCAGCAAGCAGAGCCACATGTTGTGTTGTTTCACAGTTACTGTCAAAGCTTTCATCAACTTCTTCATATTTAATATCTATCACATCAGCGTGTTCAGTCATATAGGTATGCGTTTGTAAAGCATCATTACCACAATATACACACAGACACTTTCCCTCGTCATCATGTCTGGCCATTTGACCAACAAAATCAGCCATCTTTTACAAACTGTAATTTACAAAAGTTTGTACAAAATAATATTTCATCAATGGACAGACCTTTCAGACATATACTCAAAGTATAAAAACAATATAAATCCCAGTCGTCACAGGTAAATGGTTCCTATTCATAAGTCACCACATGTAGGTGGTTATGGAGGTTACTCTTGCACAAGGAAACCTTAACCAAAAGTTAACTTTATCTCAACAGTACACAAGCAGTGGAGACAAACACTTGCCACATTTATGTACTGTACTGTATTGGAACTTTCTCACCAGTGATCACAAGCATTAGTCACAAGGTCTTGTTTAAGGTAAAACATTACAATAATCATCATGTTGTATTTAAACAACATTTAACAGTGCAATATTTTCAGGAGAAAGATTCACTTGTGTGAACCTTCTTTTCATCCTCAGTTTCCTAGGATCACTAACTTGACTTTCATATTTGTAACTTATGATTTACACAGTTGATAATTTACATTAATCATGCTTACAAACTTCTCCTGAAGATACAGTATTCACTAATCCTCACACTGACTTATTGTACAGTTTTAAGGGACTGTTCTTGACCTGTTCTGCCTCCTGTTTTGTAGGTTGTGGTGAGAGATGTCTGTGTGGGACGGCCTTCTGATGTCCCTTTGTTACATCCACCCTCTCCCACCTTTATGTCTGAAATATAATAGTTTTGGTATAATTTGTATTCCTTGCACAAGCTGTACCTTACTCAGTATATACACCTACCTTAATTTAATAATAATAATAATAATAATAATAATAATAATAATAATAATAACAATAATAATAATAATAATAAACGGTTTATTAATAGAGTTGCAGCCGGTGGCTGAAAATATACAGACTTGCATTTGATTTAGACATAATGATGTAATATGCATTGAATATATTTATAGGGCTGTACAATACATAAATCAAGAGTTGTTTATTATTTTAACAATAGATGGGATGGCGCTATTCTTATATCTATCGGTGCGGGCTCGTATGGGCTGAATTTTGTTGTAGTGGCGGACTGCGCGAGGTGGGTCGGTGGGGGGCTGCCGGTGGCAGGAGGTGGCGATGACGAGGGTGGTGCATTAGTTGGCTGCCAAACCTTTCCAGTGCTCGGTGGTGGAGGTCACTGAGGAATAGCATTTCCAGAGTGGAGAGAGTGTTGGTGTAACCAGAGTATTCTGCGCCGAGCATGATTCTGCAGGCCTTTTTCTGTACCTTCTCTAGCTGACGTTGTTGGGTGGAGTTGAGAGAAGACGACCAGGCTGGTGACGCATACGTTAGTTTGAGGAGAATAAAGGAGTTGTAGATGGTCATCAGCTCTGGCGTGGGTGTCCCAAGTGACCTAAGTCGTCGTGTATCAGGCGTTGATAAACAATATCATAACAGATTTCTTTCATTGCTGTAAGAGTGAGTGACTGTCGAGTGTGATACATGATACTGCACTGTTTATTGACTTTACTGGGAATGGCTTGTATGTGGTTTCTCCAGTTAAGTTTCTCAACAACAATAACTCCGAGAAATGTAGTATTTTGTTCGCGTTTGAGGACTGTATTACCAAGGTACAGGGGGTCCAGGTCTGAGGAAAAGTTTTTCCTTCTGTGGAAGATCGTGTAGTGGGTTTTTTCGAGGTCTAAGGTCAGTTTATAACATATTACCCAGGTCTTGACTTTAGACACTTCAGTGTTCATAGTTCTCATCAAGGAATGGAGGTCTGAGTTGCTAGCATAGAGATTACTATCGTCTGCAAATAAGTTGTATTTATGAGTGTGCTGGAGTTGACTACATATATCGTTTATGTACAACAAAAACAGTACGGACCGAGAATGGAGCCTTGGGAGATGCCATACAAGATTGGCGAGGAGTCAGATTGGTGACTATTATAGCAGGCATACTGCTTCCTGTTGGACAGATATGATGTAAACCAATTGTGGGACAGGCCCCTAACGCCGTATGTTCAAGCTTTAAAAGGAGGATGGTATGGTCGACAGTATCAAAGGCTTTAGAGAAATCCAAGAAAATACCGACTGTGAATTGACTGTCATCAAAGGAGTTAAGATGTTATTAGTAAAGGATAGCAGAGCACTCTCAGTTGACCTTCTAGCTCTAAATCCAAACTGGGAGTCCGTAAAGATGTTATTGGCATTGCAGAAGGAATTTAGTCTACTACATGCTAGCTTCTCCAGTATCCTACTCAAGGCTGGGAGGACTGATACCGGGCAGTAATTCTTGAAAAGAACTTTGTCCCCAGATTTTTTATATGCTGGGTGAACTTTAGCAATTTTCAGTTTATCCAGAAAAAACACCACTAGTGAAGGAGGAATTACAAATGTGTAGGAGAACAGGAAGTAATAAGTGGGCTACTTTCTTAATGATGCTCATTGGCATATTGTCTTCGCCTGCTGCTGCATACTGTATTTGGACAATTTTATGATGACCAATAATAATTCATCTGCTGTGACAAGATAAGAACAGTTCATTTTGCTGAGTTTTACAGGTAGGCTCTAAATTTCTCATGGTGATCAGAGATGCTCTCTACAAGATTTTTGCCAACATTAATAAAATATTAATTGAAGTGGTTGGCAATGAGGGAGGGTTCCGTTACAACCAAAACATTTATCATAAAAGCTGTGGGGGCCGAAGGCTGAGTGTTCCTGTTCTGAATAGAATTTATGATATTCCAGGTTTTCTTATTGTCACCTGATGCTGACTGGAGCTTATTTGTACAGTGGTCCCTCGGTTAACGAACACAATTCGTTCCACAGAGTCGTTCGTTAACCGAATCCATTATTTCAATGGGATATTGGGTAAATGAATCCAGCTCACAGAAAAGTACATACAAAGTATAAACAAAATGCAGTAAAGTACACTTACTTTGAGGTGTGTATGTAGAATGTTGCTGGTTGATGATGATGGGAACTAGAAGTGAGGGGTGGAGGAGGAGAAGGGAGAAGAGAAGGAAGTGGGGATGGAGGAGAAATCGCCTTTCTTTAGACCCATGCTTGAGGCAGTAATTTCACCAATAAAATTTTAAATTCACTAGCTGTAATTACAGATCATTTTATTTAAATCAACACTGCACTGTACTATATATTATCAACATGTTAACTAAATTTCAGAATGAACAATATGTAATTTGAATGTAAAAACGTAAAAATACTCTGTATTCAAGAGAGCGACAAACACGATGTTTCCACCACCGTAAACAAAATTAAACTGACACTTTGGTGGGTGAGTAAAGCGGCTGATGGGCGCACAAAATATTAGTTCCCTGTACTACACATATTATCAATATGTTAACTAAATATTAAAATGAATAATAATTTATTATAAAAAAAATGCAAAAATATTAAAGAGCACAACCTTTTTGATATTTACTCCACTGGAAACGAATGTAAACATAGAACCGATTAATGTATTGGCGGACTGGCCAATCAGCTGATGCTTACAACAAAACGTGTTTGTCGTAAGTTTTGTTCGTTAACTGAATTGAAGATCCTTAAGGGAGCTAATTCGTTAACAGAAATTTCATTAATCGAACCATTTGATAACTGAGGGACCACTGTATAATAGCTACATCTGGCATTTCTAACTGCTCGAGTTACTCTATTTCTGTTACTTTGATAAACATCACCGAAAGTTATGGGTCTTTTTTGCAAATTTCCTTTGGAGTTTGTGGGTTTTTTTATCATTGTCTTGAATTTGCTTGTGATATAGGGTTTGGAAATGGATACAGTTTTCACTGACTTAGTCTAGAAGGGGAAGCATTTATCAAAGCAGACATTGAAGATGCATGAAACGTTGCAGCTGTTCACGTTAGGGGTGTCAGAGGCATACGGTAGGCAAGATCCCACTAAGCATTCATTAAGTGGTTTTCAAAAAGGGGCATATTGTCGGTGCAGTAGTCTCTGTATTGTATTGAGACAACTTGACCTTTCAAGTCCTGTGGCAGTTTTATACATGGCAAAAACTGGGAAGTGATCTGAGATAATGTTATAAATAATTCCACTTCCTAGATTAGGAGTGTTGTAAGTCCAGATATGATCTATCACAGTGGCAGAGGTGGCATTTACTCTAGTGCAGTGGTTCTCAACCTTGTTTGCCCCATGCACCCCTTTCACCATATGCCAGAATGTCATTCCCCCCTCCTCTCCAAGATTGTCTGCCTCAAAAAGTGCATTCCAAATAATATGCATATAATACTGAAAATCCTTTATTTTTTCCATATTAGTACATATACATTTACAATTTTACATGGATTATTTTTATAGTGGAGTTTTACAAATTAAATGCCAATTGAAAATGTTGATGAATTTATAAAACTTGAATAAAAGTAAAATAGTTTTTTTTTTTTTATAATGAATTACTTAACAGACCAAACTGAAGCATAATGCAATAAACAAAAAGTTCAATAGAATACCAGGATATTGTAAATTTGTAATTAATTTTATTCAGATGAAGATTACAGTCAATGAGAAACCTGTGATTGTTTTTTCTTCGCCACTTCTGGGATACGCGGAGAAGTGCTTGAAAGGGCACAACGCAGGTCATTTTCTACCTCTAATCTACTACGTTGCTTTGTTTTAATTTGCAACAGAGTTGAAAAGCCCGACTCACAAAGATATGTCGACACAAACGGAAGCAATGCACGGATAGCTCTTTCTGCCACTTTTGGGTAGGAATCGCACATCAAGGGCCAAAATTCTGTGATTGATTTCTCATCGAACATATCTCTTGCTCCCGAATCAGTTTCCCCCCCCCCTGAAAACCTGAATTCCCCCCTGGTTGAGAACCCCTGCTAGTGGGTTTGGTTATAGTGTTGAAGAAGAGTTTAGAATGACAGGTAGCAAGAAGGTCTAATACTACGGTGTCGGTTTCTGATTTTAATTTGTCAAGGTTGAAATCTCCTGTAATGTAGAAAAGTTTCCTCTCTGAAATTATGAAAAGAAATAAGCTCCAAAAATTTATCAAGGAAGTTCCTTACATTAGTGCGAGGTCTTCTGTGGATTACTCCTACTAGGATATTTCGTGTCGTTACGTAATTCAGTGAAAACACTCCATAAATTCCCCCTGAACCTTTAAATCATCTCTTACAGAGGTGTGTTATACTTGATATCAACATATAGTGACACACCACCACTGTATTGTGATGTGTTGATGCAGTGTCTATTATAATTAGGAATATTATACAAATGTTCAAAATTTGGTTAACGAACGACTCTGTGGAACAAATTGTGTTCGTTAACCGAGGGACCACTGTACAACAATAAAATCATGGTGTAGATATAAGTTGGTGCAACTGATCATGAATCATGTAACCTTAATATACGGACAAGTAACCAAACTTTTCCATAACTCATCAATGGAGACAACTTTAGTTTTTATATTACATCTTAACTTCTAAATTTTGGTCAGGGTCTACATTAAAGCATAGTCTTGACTGTGCAGATGCCATATAATTTCTTTTGAGAAATGGTGACTGCATACATAGTGGCTTCTATTTAGCTTTTCAAATGTTTTCCCCTTCAAAGGTATGCCTTTTTCTTCTAGTATCATCTGCCATCTCTACATCTAAAGAAATTTATCCAGAATTACTTAGTTACTAAAATTATAATAAGAATAATACCAGCCCCTATCATCTTCCATGGAAATTGTTTAGCTTTCAATATATTATACATTGATAATAAATAGGACTAATAAAATCTTACTCTTCGTCTATTTTTTAAATATATTTACACTGCGGTACTTACTTTTCTTCATCTTTGGGGAATCGATGAAATACGAAACCGGGATGTGTATCCTTTCTCCGTTTGCAGATTATGCACGGGTGTCCTTTACTTGTCATGTTGATAAGACTACCCATTTGTAGATTGTGCTCGTGAGCAGATTCCGATTGTCATATTTAATGTGTAAACTACCATATAACGTGCTCCACACAGTGACATCTACTGTATACAACTATACACCGCACTACAAAATTTGTGCATTCCTCGTGTGTTAACCATTACATGCGAATGCCTGAGCTTTCCCGTCTTCTCATAGTCTTTGATATTGCCTATGCGTGATGCGCCGATAACATCCCCTCACAGACAAAGACCGAAAACTACGCAAAATCAATTAAATTCAATTGTGTCACTATTATCCATTTCCATCATGTACTGTATATATGGGGTTCAAAATGCTCAGAATATCGAGATCTAAATGTTTCAGTAGTTTATAACTTTCAGGGGTGCTATGTCCTAAAGTAAAATACAGTAATACCGTTTTTTTTTTTCCACTTGGCAATGATTTTTGTCAGCAAACGCCCCACCAAAACCTCCTTGTTCTCAACAGGATCCCCTATCTTGTTGGGGGTAGAAAGGGGCGATAACTAAAAAAAAAACACACAAAAAACAGGCAATTTCCAATGGAAATCAAGATCAAAACCAATCAAAACACAAAAATAAACTAGATAAACATAGTTTTAACAGAATTGTGTGAACTACTATAAATTTGTTAATTTTTTGTTATCCACCCGTCGGATACACCCTATTTCGTCACCGACCCGGTTCGTCACCAAAACCCCATTTCGTTACCAATATCAAATTCGTTTCGTCACCACTAACAGTCGCTGGTATTAGTGACAAATTGTAAGTTATTATTTTACATGAATAGAAATTACACATGTATATAGATGACTCGAGAAGTATTATTGTTATTATTATACACAGAATATTAATTATTTAATAAAGCAAACAATTAAAACATTGGTAAAAAAAATACAGAAAAAATGAAGATTTATTGTGTTATTACTACAGTATACAGTCAACCCTCACTTTACGCGGTCCCACATTCCGCGTTTCCACGTTTACGCGGTGCCCTGCCGGAACCCAGGATGCTCACATTCCGCGGTGCGTGTACCCCTTTACGCGGAGAGCGGCTGGCAAGCCGGGCCATTTTTGGATCCAAACCTCCCGCCATCCGCCATGTTGTGTAAGCGGCGCAAACATGGTGCGCACAAGGTCGCCCAGTCATCAAAACATTACCAGTTCTTCACCCGCCACCCACCACAGCCAGCCCAAGTCAGTGATAGTGATAATTATGGTGAGGATATGGACTTATATGGACTTTGGGGGGTTTGACAAAGAGGCCCTGCAAGCCTCTGTGGTGGATAGTGATACAATTGATACAAGTGAGGGCCAATAATCTGCCCTCTGCCTCGGAACCAACCGCCCATCCCCGTGTGCCCAGCCATCTTTTCTACTAATGTAAGTGTTAAAAAACCTAATATTATTGATATTTCTCTTAATTATTAATTGTGTGTGCATACTATCATAAAGTTAAGATAATATTTTTACTATAACATAGTTGTGTGTCGTCAAAAAGTGGAGTTTGGGGGTCGGCCCGGTCTCTATTTCAATTAATCCCATATGTTATGTTATTCACTTTACGCGTTTCTCACTTTCCGCGGTACCCTGTGGGTTACATTAACCGCGTAAAGTGAGGGTTGACTGTACATGAATATTAGTTGTTTAATAAAGAAAACTATTCAACATTGGTAAATAAACAAAATGCAGAACAAATGAAGGTGATTTGGCACCAGCGCATAAATCACCGAGCAGTGAAATGATTGCAGGCGCATTACCAATGTTTTTATATTTTTATTTTCGTCTTTAATAAATTGTCAGTGTTTTTAATTATTTTCTGTCCCAAACAACAGTTATTTCTGTGTATATATTACTTTTATCTTCTTCAACTCTGATCGGCTCGTTAGCCGCTTGGGCTATCAGTTACGTCTCTGTTACGCACTGTTGGCAAGTGCTGGGCATGCACTGTCTCCTGAATGTAACTGAACCTGCTCCAGTGCTTATCCAGTCTGAACACAAGTTAAAATCGTGCACAAGAGAAGCAAATCATGACAAACAAGTCCATCTCTGGAAACTGTGGGATGAATATGAAGAAAATATATCACCACTTCTAATTTCCTTAAAAAAAAAAAGTCATTGTCTTCTGCCCAGCCTGCATGAGTAAATTTTAGTCTTTCACATATTGTTTTAGTTAGATGATTGCAGGCGTATTAAATTTTGTTGTTGTTGTTTCGTTTTAGTCTTTAATAAATTGTTTAAGCGAGATGCTTGCATGGGAAATGTTTTAATTTTCTCATTTTCGTCTTTAATAAATTGTCTTAGTGAGATTCTTGCATGATCCAATGTATTGTTATGCCGAGGCATAATTTTGTAATAAAGTTTTGTAAACTAGGTGTTTTGATTAAACATTGATAAATATTTTCATAAACCACGGAGCAGTGAGATGATTGCAGGCATATTAACAATGTTTTTATTTTTGTCTTTAATAAATTATCTTAGTGTTTTTTACTATTTTCTTTCCCAAGCAACAGTTATTTTCGTGTATATATTGATGAGAATGAACGCAGTGCCAAAATTGGTATAGCAGTGGTCACGAAACGGGTTAAAATAGTGGTGACGATATGGGCAGACCCCCACCCAACACCCTTTTTTCACATGAAAAATATGTTTTTTCACTAGTTTCCTTGCTGTTTTAGATGATTCTGACATTTATCTTTAAGGCAAATTACTTTTTTCTTTTTTTTTTGGTTTGGTTAGGTTAGGTTTTCTTGCTTTTTTAGATGCTTCTGGCATTTATAGTTAACTAAAATAGCAAGAAAACCTAACCCAACTTAAAAAAACCAGTTATTTGCCGGTATTTTTGCATTTACACACCGCACATTCCTACCACTATTCTATTATCATATTCTAATAAGACATCTAATTATAAGATAATTTTCATCTATTACATTACCGGTGAAAATGTATAATAACGGAGATACCCTATCAAAAATGTTCTCTATTTTCTTCCATTAATCTTCCGCCATCAACGCCTGCCTCACCTACAACACTGCGTGTCTCCTGCATTTCCTTCATAAATCATCACGCGCATACATTCCCATAAACGTCATGCGGCCAATCAAAAGCGATTTTGTTTTTGCAACCAATTAAAATGATTTGGGGTTCAATTCGCAGTATATTTGGCCAAATCAAATTCGAGTTTTATTTTGGGTCTCTCATATTTCGAAAATCAAGTTCAGTTCCAACCATGGAAGTCTGCGATGGGTGTCACTTAAATTATATGGAGCTGATTGCGAGTTTTTTGGAAAAAAAAAACGAAGAAACTATAGCATTTTTTAAATCGCATGGTGTTCTTCCAACCTCAGTAAAGTGTACTAAGTGTAAGACTGAATGTAAATATTGCAAAGACCAACATATGTGGCGTTGTGTAAGAATCTCAGAATTCAACAACGAACAAGAACCAGGCCAATAAGGTAAGAAATAGGCGATTCCATCATATGGTGAGAGTCAGTTAGGTTAGGTTTTGTTTTTGTTTTTCATGTGTTTTTGGTGTATTTTGCCATGATTTTTTTATTTTTTTGGAAAACGTCCAACGAAAAAAATTCGAAAAAAAACGGCAATTTCCGCCAGAAATGAAGGTCATATTCGGTCTAAACACACAAAAATACACTAGAAAAATATATTTTTTACTTTCTAACAGAGTGCGGTGTGACAGTGCAAATTTACCTATTTGCCCCTAAGGTGAATGTCAGAATCATCTAAAACAGCACGAAAATTAGCGAAAAAATATTTTTTTCGTGTGAAAAAAGGTGATGGGTGGATAACAAAAAATTACCATAAATTTACCCAATAATGTGCAGTGTAAGTCTACAATGTAGTGTAAATATACAATAACGTAGTGTAAGTATAATGTACATAAAACGCAGTGTATAGAGAGTGTACGTATACTATACAAACAATACACAGATAGTGTAGCAGCACATATTGTGAAGGTACACAAGAAGGGCGAGGTTTACCTAATCTCTCTCAATAAACAAAGTAATGAGTAAACCCACCTGATGTAGTCAGTGAGGAAGAGCATGTTAAGTAAAGTCATTACTTGTTGTTTGTTAGCACTGCTAGTTGCTGCACCAAACGCCATCGGAATGAGAATTATAAACTCTTTAGGACAACCTGCCAGGGAGTGTTGTGACGGCACCGAGTGAGAGCTCATTTAAGAGCCGTCCGAGCCGCCAGACTTTACTAACACTTAGTGAAGCAGATTCTGATTGGGCTAGGCCAAAGACTATATACGAAAGATAGGAAAGCGGACCGATAAGAATTGTTGCGCTAATTTGGTCCTAAAACGTACTGAGCCAAAACGATAGATAGAGCTGGCGTACAACTGGTGTCGTCTGCAGCAAGAGGACACCAGTGCATGTTATGCCGCAGAACCAAGAAAGATCATCCCCAATTTGTATACTATTCATTCCCAAAGGATAAAGAAAGGTATATGCACAGTTTTGAAATACATACATATGATAGGACAGGTTTATTTATCATATCCACAAACAACGTGAAAACTCCCTGCAGGCAAAGTAGAATCTGATTTTGAAATATTATTTACAGGTATTTGCAATGGGTACAACAAGTACTGGAGCTTGAGAAACTTAAAGGAAAGAGCCCCCAAAATATAAGCAAAAACACCAGATTATGCAGCCATCATTTTTCCGAAGGCAATTACACTGCAGGGAAGGCAACTTCTAAGCTTTGTAAAAATCTATGTCCAGATATTAACAAAGGTTTGTATTATAATATGTACAGGATGTCAAATATCAAATATTGCAAATAAATATGTTTGCACATATATTTATATATTTCATGTACAGTAGATCCACAATGAAAACGTGGATAAGATAAATCTTGATAAAATCACACAGGAAAAAGGGAAACAGTGGCCCAAGGTTAAAAATGCTTTGAAAGCATTCGAGTTAGATGTAGGATAGATGATTAGTGGGTCCCATATTTTTTACCTGACTAAACATGACTAGTTACGTCGCCCTTTCTTCTAAGCTCCTTTGTGTGTGTGGTGGTGTTGGTGTGCGGATTAGTGGATGTCATGTTTATGACCTGACCTCATGTTTAGTAAGGTCACCCTGTGTACTTAAGCCTCTCGGTCCTTGTAATTCAGTTGCCTCTGAAGATGTCTTGAATAAAGACGAAAGCTAAGGCGCTCCATTGTTTCCCTTTTTCCTGTGTGATTTTATTAATATATATATATATATATATATATATATATATATATATATATATATATATATATATATATATATATATATATATG